TTTTAATCGATAATTGTTAGCCGTGCTAGAATATACGCTATTATTGAATGTAAGAGATGAGAGGAATAGAGAGCTCATTGTAATTCCTTATTGTTCTCCAATTTAGTAAATAGAGCCCTGGAGGCTATTATTTAGTTCAAATCTATGAATAGAGCCCTGAAGACTATTATTGAATGTAAGAGATGAGAGGAATAGAGAGCTCATTGTAATTCCTTATTGTTCTCCAATTTAGTAAATCCCCTCCTCATGAACGTAGACATATTTGTTGAACCACGTAAATCGTCGTGTTTTTGTGTTTGTGTTGTGTTAATTTTGTTTCCACAGTGACTATTTGCACAACAGGTTATACCTTATTAATCGTGCACCAATAACTGTGTTGTTAATATTAATGCTTTCTTTAAAATAATATGGTAATTAGCTAAAGATGTCACTCCATTTTTTAGTTGCCTACTAATTTGTTTTTAACATAACTAATTCTTGACATCCTTCTTGTTACCAAATAGAAAATGGGATTTAGTTGCATCACTGATAATGGCTATAATTCTGGTAGCAAATATGAAGGATTAATTTTAAACAAACAACTACTAATGAGAGCAATGTTGAAGATCAAACACCAAACATGTATGCAAAGAAGATAAACTAGTTGCAGACCTGATTCACAGACGGAGGTACTTCAGCTGTAACAAGCAGCTTGTCAATCATATGTGGAGAAAAATTGCTGACACCAATTAAGTTGGTAAGACCAAGCTTCTGACAGTCCTCCATGGCTTTCCATACTGATTTGATATCCAAAGGCAATGCATCATCTCTCTTTATGAGAAGGCGGCATGTGCCTGGCTTTGAGCTCAGAGGCATGTGGATTAGATAAAGATCTATGTAATCCAATTGGAGATTTCTGCATAACAACATACACACTCAGGGAATTTCAGTTTAGAGAAAATTCTATATCCCGGTTGCATTTAAAGTGTTTTTTATTATCATTATACCCTCAAAACTTTTTTGGGTCAAGTTAATCAAATTATTAATAGAAAGTAGATTGGGTTCAACAATTTATTGATTGTGAATCAAATTTAACAATCTAAGCCCGTCCAAGATTTTTTTTCCAAAAAGGAAAGTCATTTCTTTTTAGATTTTCGTTTTCGATGCTTAACATAATTATCGAGAGAGCCAGCCTCCCAATCGCTTCCAATAATATCCTCCCTTCCTGCAGACGACATGTCATCATGTAACCAATTACATTGCCTTAGAACACTATCTCTAGCAAGATTGGCTAACATATTAGCATTCGAGATAACATAAATAGGCACATCAATCAGAGGCACCACCACTCCGGCCTCCCCCAACTCAACCAAGGTTTCACCACCCCCATCAACTAAAGAGACAGAATTATCATCTGACAAGTCCGCAACTTCAGCACAAGTAGGACTACCTCTGAGATTAATACAACAATTAATATCATTCATAGCCAAGCGGGCAGGAGTCACAACAGGATAAACATCACCATCAAAGGCACCACAAACCGCCAATCCACCATTAGTGATCGAAGAGCCAATAGAGCAAGCCGCAACAATAGATAAAGGAGCTGCTGGGGAGACGATGGGGCTAGACGGATTGGAAACTAAAACCGTACCAACCAAACTAGAAATAGGATTAGGATTTAAACATACTCCATCAGCACCAAAAACTTGAAAGCCCGTCCAAGATGAAGCTGCCCACATATTAAGATCATTTGCATGTTGCGTAAAAAACATTTCAACTGAACCAAAGTACTCACACACAAACATAGAGTTCTCGCCAGAAAAAATAAGTCGAGGGAACTTGCCTGCAATCTAGAACTTGTCAATTATTCTATTGCTTAGAATAATTTCCTTCACTAATAGTGTAACCTCATATGGGAGATTTCTTCCCTAATCAATAGATGAAGAACAGATTTAGCCCCTATTGCAAATTGACTAGGAAGCCTTTGAAAACTTTTTATTATTTTACATCGAAAAACAGGATTATTTCATGATAGAATTGTAAAGCTGCTGGTTAAGAAATTATGGAAGATGTAAGCCAGAGTTATCGAACAAAAAATGAAGACTTGACCTGTCTTTCTTAATCAAGTGAAAAAAAAAGAAAAATTAATAGATAATTAAAAAATATATATATTCACAGATATCGGTCTTCAGAACATCAATCAACTATATATGTTGTATCAGTCGCTGATTATAGTAAATTAATTGATTAATATAGCTGATTTCAAAAATATAAATCTTTATGTCACCAATTAGTTATTAACTGGTCTAATTGAAAGGAATCACAATGATCAACGAATTAATCATAATTAATTAGTTATCATAATACAATTAGCAAATAATTAACTCTAACTGAATTTTTTTGGGTACATAATCTAACTGAATTTAGTAAGTGTTGATTCTAGACAAAATTTTATACTATCTTACTGTTAATTAATAACTTTCACTTTTTAAACATTCCAGCTCAAATATACCCCAAATTTAAACAAGATTAAGGCAAAAAAAATTTGATGGAATTTTCTGTAAATCGAAATTAAATAATTTATATCATTTAAATTTAATAAAATATTATATATTATTTTTTAAGCTCATTTTAATCAAAAATTAGATTAGGATTGATATGGTGACCCAAGTTTTTATTTATTGAACTTATTTTTAAATTAGTGTAATATAAAAGTTAGGAAAAATTATGTTAGAAATATTTTAATCTAATTTTCATCATAATAATATTAAAAAATAATAAATATTATTAAATAAAATATGATAATATCTTATTATTTTCATATAATTTTTAAATTAATTTATAATTCAAAATTTAGATAATTTCATATGATTTAAATATAATAAAAATTAAAAATATCACGTTTTAATTTTTTAAGTTCATTCTCATTAAAATTAGATCAAAAAATGTTTACCAAAATTTTTAATAATTAATTGATTAGTCATATTTTATGCTCATTTTAAAAGAAATAAAACAGATAAAAATTCCATTGGGTCAGTAAATGGACAGCCAACTTACCTGAGTGACTCGCGTAGAGCGGAAACTACAAGGTCAGGGTGGGCTTGGTCGCACCATAGCTTGGTGGTAATGAAGAGCTCACTGCGAGAAGCGATGAGACCGATGCTCAGCGCTTCGATGATCGCCTCGCCGAGAATCTGCTCCGTCTCATAGAGAGAGGCCGTGTCGAAGTGGCGATAGCCGAGCTCCATAGCGTGGAGGATAGCTGGTTTGGTGCTCGCCGGCGCGAAGGGCACATCGGCCGTCCCCATTCCCACAGCCGGCATAGCCTTCACACCATCGCCTAGCCTTATCTCCGGAATCACCGCCATTCTAATTTCGTTATCTGATCAAAGCAGGTCTACAAGGGTTTAGGGTTTGCTTGCAGCGCAAAATGCTAGATCTTATGGTTTTTGTCAGTACTTGAGCGACGCTCTGTGGTGAGTGGTGACATGCGGCGCTTTGTTTGAGATGGTGATGACTGATGAGGCCAGCTTCAGCCAGCTGCTGCAGGGAATAAAATAATAACATTTTATTATATTTTAATTTAAAATGAAACGATCCATCAGTGAGCCAAGCCAACTCATGAGTCAACTCAAATTTGATTTGATAAAAAGCTCATGTGCTGAGCTTGATGAGATAATGAGTCAAATTTGAGCGAGCCCCGACTCGACTCGTAAGCTCGTGAGCTTACTCCTTTAAAAATTATTAATATAAAATATATTTAAAATATATCAGAATTAAGAATTTTAAATACAAAGTTTTTAAAATATTTTAAAATTATATCTCAATTTCTTATATTAAGTAATTTTGTATTATTGCTCTTACAATTTTTTATTTTCATATCATTTTATTATATTAATTGTTAAAATCATAATTATTTTCTTTCTTTCATAATAAATGAGATGGCTCAAACTCTTAGAATAAAGCTCAAGCTCAAACTCGAATTTGATTAATTAGAGGTGACTCGAGCTCGACTTGAATCATTTACGACCATAAATAAAACCAAACTTAAATCAGATTGTTTTCTGCACCACTTCACAACCCTTTTATAATTTTGAAGGGAGCCATTAGAAAGCGAGTGGGAGGGATCAAGAGGGGGCAAACATTACGCAAGGAAGAACTATGAATTATGTATTGATACTCGAGAATTTGTAATGATCGTGGTTGGATGATAGAGGTCGGAAGTTTGATGGCAATGATCAGGAGAAGGTCCAGTACAGCTCGTCGATCAGGCGGAGGTTAGACAGCAATTTGGCTACAATCAGTGGTTGGGAGAAGGTCCAACGATGATTTGCGGTTTGGTAGTGGTCCAACGGTGATCCACAATTGGGTGGAGGTTCGACAAGGATTGATGGTCGGGCAAATGTTCATCGGTGGTCAAACAGCATTCGGCAATGTCTTATTAAGACGTTCAATTTGTCAGCAAGTTTGTTAAAATTGTAGTTTAGATTGTCCTGATTTTAACTTTGGAAGATGATAACTTGAATATGCCTCAAATTTTGCTTTTGATCAAGGCTATTTTTTATTTGAGTAATTAAAGAATAATCATAATATTATTAATTATAAAAATATATTGGTGACAAAGCTAACAAATTATTCACATAAACAATTTATTAATGACATCAGGGAATGCATTTGATACAAAATTTAATGATCTAATCCTATAGGAAGATCATTATATGTTACCAGTTAAAATGATATAGTGATTTAAAATAAAATAATGTGGTGTCTACTCCCCCAAAGACTTGGAATATTTTATTTAGAGGAAATTAACTGATCTCATTATAATGTGCTAATAAAATCAATTGCATATTATAAATTTTGCCCACATGAAGAGTGTAATGATGCGCTGATTTCCTATTTGGAATAATTTACATTCGTAAGTTTTTTAATTTATTTTTCCTTCCAAATAAGATTAATTAAGCAAATGAAATTTATTAGCAGTTCAATTTACATGTGTTCCAAACTATGATATATCTCATGTTTTCTATATTAAAGTTTCATTTGGGATGGCTTTCTTATTGCTTCATAAAGCAGCTTTTTAGTAAAAAATTAAAATTTTTTAACTAAAAAACTGCTTTAAGAAACAGTATGAAAGTTGTCCCAAATGAAGCTCAAGCAATAACAGCTATGAATTGAAAGAAGAACATTCTTTGTATTTTGGGTTGCATGGACTTTGATTTGGCACTCATGTAGAGGAGCTTATAAATCTTATAAAATCAACCACTCAATCTATATGAATATTTGAATAGCTTAAACATGATACTTGAAAAAAATATATTTCTAAGTCGATTTCTAAATGGGCTAAAGTAAAGTATCATCACAAAACTATTAAGCAATAGTTTAAAGGTTTCATTTGGAATGGCTTTCTTAATACTTTCTTAAAGCAGCTTTTTAGTTTTGAATTAAAAAGTTGTTTTAAGAAGTTATAAGAAAGCCGTCTCAAGCAAAGCCTAAAATTTTTGAACTAAAAAATTATTTTAAAAAACAGTAAGAAAGACATCTCAAAAGAAACCTAAGACTTCAAACAAAGCACTTATAAAAAAGGCAGTCAATAAATGTAAATTACAAGAAAGTAATAGTTTCTTCTGTCATGCTTTCTACTTCTGTTTTTCTTTTACCTGACAGAGTTATTCACCACGCCAATATAAGGCAATAAATACTACACGGTTCTTTGGGACTCACCTTATGCTTTTCTCTTTATTTAGTAATTCATAAGCAAATTAAGATTTCGCCCCATGACTATATCTCACCATCCCAAAGCTCCTCAAGGGACTTGAAACCGCCGTTGTGGTTTAAAAATTCTGTTCCTCGGCATCCTTTGTATTGTGGAAGCTGCTCTATCTTATACAAATCCTCCTCGCTTAATTTCCAATCAAATATGTCAAGGTTTTCTTTCATTCTCTCTTTGTTAAATGTCTTCACAATTATGCTCGCACCTTGCTCATATATCCATCTCAAACTTATCTACAACAAATATTAGGGACACATTAGCATGAAAAACATAAAATATTGCAAAACAGATATATTTTCATAAGCCATCATTACACTCAAATAAAAGCTTTTCATGACCATGGTAGAAGGCAATGGTTCTTGAGCCTTGCTTAACTACAATGGAAGACACTACAAATTTAACTGAGTCATGTGCACTAGTAAAATCCTCTTCTTCCATGGTAGGTTGCAAGTATAATCTTGCCCAATGAAGCAATATAAAATTTTCGCTTAAACACATTATATAGTAAAACAAAATCAAGATGTAATTGTTAATGTTGTTAGATATACTAAATCCAAAAAAGCTTCCGTTTAAGAGAAGTGATGGCCAATGTGAAAATTTCTCATGACCCTAATACAGCCTATAGCCTCCATTTATAAGCTCAAAATGCTACACTAATGGCAATACAAGCCATTCAAGAAAACTAAAGAAAGTACACATGAAAACTACCTAAATCTTGGACTAATATCCAACAGAGAGCCCAACAATGCCCACAAAAAAGGCTTAGAAGTAAAGTAGAAGAATGAATAAGGCTTCATTTGGGACGGCTTTCTTACTGCTTCTTAAAACAGCTTTCAAGTACAAAAATTAATTTTTTTTACTAGAAAGCTGCTTTAAGAAGCAGAAAGAAAGCCATCCCAAACAAAGCCTAAATTGTACCTGTGCTATGGACTTTCCTCTTGCAGCAGCTATCTCCTTTAACTCCCTGCATTCCATGACTTTTATTGTTCCCCATGGAGCTCCATTTGCTCCCAAAGGGGAGTAAGCACTTACAACTATACCCTTCTCCTTACAAAAGTTGGTTAGCTTCTTTTGTTGCCAAAGAGGATGCATTTCCACCTGCAATAGAACATATACATCAGAGATGAATCATAAACACTAACCATTAACCATTGCGAGAAGCCAACAAACCTGATTGACAGCCGGAGGAATCTTGGCTGTTGCAAGTATTTGATCTAGCTTCTTACAAGAGAAGTTACTCACTCCAATAGACTTAGCAAGGCCTAATTTCTGGCATTCTTCCATTTCCTCCCACACGGACTTCATGTCCATAGGAAGAACATCCTCAGCCAAAAATGGATACTTAACCTTACTGGGCTTTATACTAACCGGCCAGTGCACAAGATAAAGATCAACGTAATCCAATTGAAGCTCTCTATAAAATTTATGAACACGAAATGAAGAATCTTAGGTTTAGTAAAAAAGAGAGAGTATGAAGTTGAGTAAGAAATAAGAAATAAAGACAAAACATGAGAAGGATCAACTGTTAAGAAAAACTATATTATCGTTACCATGAATTTAATTACTCATAGCTGTACTTCGATAGATGTGAATGGTACACACTAGGAGAATAGCAGATCATTTTGCATCAACATGTTGATGTAGGAGTACTGGTTTTACTAAGAACTTCTCATTCAAGGAGAATATAACTCATAGCTGTACTAATATTACTAATTTTCAAATCCAAAAATGTAGAAATGAAACATCCTAATGCATGGAGAATATAAAATTACACATTCAAGACTAACTAGAAAAATTGAGCAAATCCTAATCCTTCTGGCTTCGTAGAGCACAAAGGCCAGAGGTCTAATTCAGCCTAAGATATCTTCTGCAATCATAAAGAAATCCCCAATGAATCCTCTCCTTTTGGTCTAACCAAGAACCAAAAGATTTGGGAGCATAATTTAGCCAAAGGTTTAACTAAGAAACCAAGAATCCCCTTCTTAAGTAAACCATTGAATCGTCCTCTTCTAAACTTACAAAGCACCATATAGTTAAGAAGTCTAAATTTAAAGAACATGTTGGAGAATCTTTTGCAAATTCACAACATCTGTTAAACAAGGTCATTAGTTTTATGAAAAAAAAATATTTAGTAAGAGAAAAACATCGAAGGAAGATTCATCAATGTTAAGAAGAAATTAAAACCTGAAACAATCTAAAATTTTCGGGCATTATTGTATTGATTTTGTTCTTTCTACTTCATTGTGGAAATCTCGAGTAATCTCATCCTTTTAATTTTTCGAGAAACTATTCCTTCGTGGAGTTTATTTTTTGAGTTTCCGCGTGCACATAATATGAAATTGCCAAAAAAAAATTTAAAAAGGGAGATTTACGTCATTGTTTAAAATTGCGCAATATGAGGCTCGCCTTGAGGCCCACCTCAACATAATTCTAGTGAAAAATGCGTCAAGCCTTACACCTCTAGCTTTTTTATGAGGCGCAAGCCTCAGCTTGGTTGAAACCCACCTTGAGGCATGCCTCGCCTCGCTAGCAGCGTCTCACCCTATTTGTATGTATTTTTTTATTAAAACTAACATAAATCACGCCTTCATGCACATTTGAGCGTAACAACATGTGAAGCTGGCAATGGGACCATCGGTGTGTGAAAGCTTCGAAGTTGCGACGAGATTTGGATGTCGTTTGAAATTTTAATTAGGTAGATTGTATTGTTGTTGACATTTAAAGTTTTCAATATTATGTGAGTAAATAATGAAGTTTATGTGTTAAATATGTAAATTGAAAAGTTCTTAGTGTTGTGCATGTAAATACCTCTTTAAAGAAATTTTTTTTTTAAACAGAAAAGGGATTTATTCCAAAGAATAAAAAAGGATACAGGCAAGACCAATAAGGAACCAAGCCAAAATTACAATTCAACAGCCATAAAAAAAGAGACAATAAATAGAAAAGAAAGCAAAAGCCAGCCGGGCTCAATAAAATAAGGTCACCTGAAAATTTCCCAATGTTAGAGGAAAGAGAGACAACAGAGGAATATATAAAGAAGAATAATATACTCAAATCATGTGACATGAAAGCATAACTTTAACATAATACCAATATCTCGCAATATAATTACCTGCCTGAACTGTTGATAAATTTAGTTTAGTTTATTATTCCTAAGGACTTGTCTGTTCAATAGCTCCAAGATGAAGGCGACACAAGGGAAGCTTGAAAGTCGATCATGTCATGATATGCCACAAGTACAAAATAAAAGAACAGAATACAGTTTTTAATTGAAACAAGTGTTAAAGAAACGATTCACATGGTTTCCTTCGAAATAGCGTGTGCAGAGTTCATAGAAATCAAAGGGACGGAAAGTTTAATTATACTAACCGAAGAGACTCGCGAAGGGAAGGGATAACGCTTCCGGCATAGTTATCGGTGCCCCACAGCTTGGTAGTTATAAAAAGTTCATCCCTCCTTCCGACGAGACCTTGCCGGAGGGCCTCAGCTATGGCGTTGCCAAGCGGCGACTCCGTCTGATACATGGATGCGGTATCGAAGTGGCGGTAGCCTGCGTCGATGGCTTCAAAGAAGGCCGACTGCATCGCCTCTCTAGACACCGGCGGGTAGGACACTGTACCCAAACCGACCGCCGGCATCCCCTTCTCGTCGGAGCTCAACGTCATCTCCGGGATATCTTTTGCCATTTGCTTCCTCTTCTCTCCGCCCTAAAGAAGTATTGAAATAATACAATAAACAAGTTGGATACTTGGGGTCCGCTTGTTTCATGGAAATGGCTATATAAAGTAGAACAAAACACAGAATATTGGAGTCCATAATCAATTTGTCAACTTTTAACGAAATAAATTTAACGAGAATATATAGATGAGGTTTTTGGACTTTAACATTTTTAAATTTATATAATTCTATTTTAAATAAATATTTTTTTATTGACCATTAAGAAAATTTATTTTGCATCTTGCCCTAATATTTGAAAACTTTTATAATTAAATTCAAGATCACCCGAAAGTCTACTTGAAGAAATATATATTCAAATTAAACATCTTGATGAAATAAATTAACAACATCAAAGGCGATCTTACCCAAATCCAAATAAGTTTAAATTAAACATTTATAGAATAGTTCAAACTTTTGATATATTAAGTGAATGATCAAATAGTATATGAATCTTGCATGCTTATAATCAAAATAAGCGGCTTGAAGAGATGAATCCAACAAGCTCAATACCACTTTGTTCTAAGGTCAGTAAAGCACGTAAATGTTGAATGTATAGTTTATGATTAAAATATTTGATATGGACGACTAGTTAGTGTCAAAAAATTTTTAACTAAATTTATTAAAATGTTATTATAAAAGTACTATAAATAGACCCTATTCTCCTAATTGGAGGGATTTGGACTTGAATTCATAGAGGAGCTTGAAGATATGAAGAACTATAGAGTTCTAACTGATGTTTGACGTCAACAACCATTGCCAACCACCACCATTGTTTGGCTACCATCATTTGACAATCGTTACCTAATTATCATTGTTCAATTGTTGTGCATGATTATCATTATCTGACTATCGTCGCTCAACAACTATCATCAGACTAACATCTACCAACCACCATCATTTGATTGTCATTGTCGTCTTATCAATGTCTCCTAATTAACACTATTCAATAACTGGAGCTCCGACAGTCTCCCACATTTATAGAGTTACAAATTACGTGTATTGCATACATTGTAACCACATGTTCTCCAACTAAGGGAAACAATAATTCCTTTGTAACATATTTATATAATGGATCACTTCATCTAGTCCGGAGCTTATGATTTTTTCTGTTGTATATCGATTTTCCACATACAAATTATGATATGTAATGCATTTTTTTTTTCTTTATGTGTATTGAATTTTTATGAAAGCTAAGATGTTAAACTTCATTCTCTATAGCCACATACTTTCCAATACAATGCACATCCTACCCAAATTTTTATCAGTATATATATCTTATCTAATTTTTCTACCAACTCAAAATTAATTAAATTCCATACATAAAATTAAAATAAGCAATTCACATAACTTAATAATGATAATTTTTTTAGTGTATCACCCATAACTTAAATTAATTTCAAATTAAATTTGAGTGAGTTGTCATAAAAATAAAACTTTAAATTCAAATGATGGATATAACTATTTTGTACATAATTATTTTAAAAAAAATATATATTTAATTATTTAAAAGCTGAATATCAATACGGACTGATTATTTCAGACTTTAAAGCATTAAATATATCTTTTAATCATTAAATAAATAATAATAGTAAATAAATTTATAGTTTAGTTCCTGCATTTCTGAGTCCAGGTATATATAGGCTTGGGAGCTTTTTCTGATTCCAGGTATATATAGGTTTGGGAGTTTTTTTTTTTTTTTTGCTGCTTTATGATCATGTCAGAATTTCAGATTCTTAGGCTGTTTTGGTTATGTTGATTGGCTTTGTAATTGTTTTTTTTTTTTTGGGAAAATTAGAGGGCTTAGCCCAATTCCATTCAAATAAAACTAGTTACATGAGAAAAGTAAAAGCCTTTGAAAAGAAAAGGAAAATACAGATCCAGCAAAACAATCAACCAAAAGAGACCGGTAGGGAAACAAAAAGTTGGTGGGAGAGATCAAAATTGGGCTCAGGGTATTGCCCCACGAACGGAGAAAGGCCCCTGGTTGCAGTAGAAACGCCTTAACGAAGATCTGGCAAATGTCTCCCCCTGCCCTCCAAGGGGCCAGGAGGCAATACGGTCATCATAGCCCACCAAAACCACCAAACGAACCATCCAGAATTAACGATTGATATCAAAACGCCTATTGAGATCATCATAATGTTTCCAGTTTTTAACCTTGGCCAAAATGGCCTGCAGCCTGATGATGCCACAAAGAAGAGTGGGGCTTTTCCAAACATTATCAAATCTTCTTGTGTTTCTTTCCCTCCACAAAAAGTATATAGAGCTGCAAATTGTAAAGTAGCAAAAAATTTTTTCCCAACAACAAAATTCCTGTGAATCCTCAAAAAATTCAAAAGTCTGCAATAAATTAGGCCTGAGAAGAAAAACTTCCAGAGGAGGCAGCAAAGAGATAATCACCGAATATGAGAAATCACAAGCGAAAAACAGATGTGAGTGATTATCACTTCCGGTAGAGCAAAAGGAGCAATCCGAAAGAACATTAATCCCTTTCATAAGAAGCAAATCAGCCGTTTTTAGTTTTCCCAACAAAGCCATCCAGGCGTAGGCAGAAAAACGAAGAGATTTCCTCTTATGCCATATAAATTTGTGCCAGCTAACTTCTTCCAAATGAGTAAAAAAGCTTGTGTAAAATGTAGAAAATGACGGATTAACAGCGCCATCCCAGGTCACCCTGGGTTGCTCAATAATGTTAATACCCACAATTTCATTCAGCAGTAAATAAGGGGTAGAGGGAGGGATAGCCCAACAATTATCTTTTAAATAACTTTTCACAAGAGGATTCCTGAATTTATAATTGGGCATAATATCATGTAAAGATCTACCACCGCACCAATGGTCCCATTCCATGGATAACTGACAATTGTAGGAAATAGAAAATGAAAATTTCCCCTTAACCAACAACGCAGTAGCATATAATCGCTTCCAGAATTTTGAAGCCATAGGACTGATAGTCTTCCATGGTGAAATATATTTGGTTCTAAACCACGCCATTGTTAAATTATCTCTAGTAAAAAATCTCCATAAAAAGGAGCAGAAGTTAGCATGGTATAAAGCCTCAATTGATGGAATGCCAAGCCCCCCCAACCTGGTAGGGGAGGCAGTTTTACTCCAGGCAATAAGATGGAGTCGTTTCTCATTAATCCTACCATGGTAAAGAAACCTTGAGCAAAGCCTATCGATAAGTTTACAACAAGATTTGGGTATAATTGATCCCCGTATCCAATAAGCTAAAGTGTTAGCAATCGTGAACTTGATGAATTGCACTCTACCTGCAAAAGACAAAAATTTAACTTTCCAGCCATCCAGTAGAGCAAAAATTTTGCTCGCGAGTGGCTGGAAGTGAGTAGCATTTAGGCGGCAAGTGGCTATAGGTATCCCCAGATAAGTGAGAAAAGGGCTCATATTGGAAATGCCCAGGTGGTAGCAAATAGCATGAATGTCAGAAACATCATGAGAGAAGATAATGGAGCTCTTGTTCGGGTTGATGAAAAGGCCAGATGCATTAGAAAAGGAAGATATAGCAGTGGCAAGGGATGAAGCATTGGAAGGCAATGCTTTGCCAAAAATTAAGACATCATCGGCATACAGAAGATGTGAAACAGTAATGTCTTTCAACTTAGCACCGAAAAAAGGAGGAGAAGCATACTCCAAATTGCATGAAAAACCATCCATCACAATGCAAAAAAGAAGTGGAGATAATGGGCATCCTTGTCTTAATCCAGAAGTAGAGCAAAAGAAACCATTCAAAGACCCATTTAAGCAAATAGAGTAGAAAACATTTGAAATACATCCTTTAACCCATTTGATAAACTTCTCCGGAAAACCTTTCTGTCTTAACCTTCTAAAAAGGAAATCATGAGAAACAGAGTCGAATGCTTTACGAATATCCAACTTGGCACAGAACGAATTGCTAAAACCTTTGAGGATTTCGGAGGCTAAAAGTATGTTGTCAGTGGAGCAACGATCCGTAATGAAACCGGATTGACTGTCATGAATGATGTATGGTAGAACCACTTTAAGTCTGTTGGCCACCAATTTTGCCATAATCTTATACACCACATTACAAAGTGACAAAGGCCTGAAATCAGAGATATCAGAAACATGAGGACCTTTGGGAATTAATGCAAGGGCCGTAGCCTTAACGCTTCTCGGAAGATAGCCAGTTGAGTAAAATTCCATGACAGCATTACAAATGTGTTGCCCAGTAATGTGCCAAGTGTGCTTAAAAAAGGCAAAAGTGAAGCCATCCGGGCCAGGAGCAGAATAGCTACTACCATCAAAAACCACCTTTTTGATCTCCTCGCAGGTAAAAGGCAAAATGATTGGTTGAATCATGTCAGGAGGAATACATTTGCCCGGATGAAAGGAAAAGTTTTCAACGTTGCTGGGTTTCGGAGCATTGAAGAGATTTTTAAAATGATTAATGCAGGCAGTGGCAATATCCTGAGGGGAAGTATGAGACCCATTACAATCAGTGATCTCATGTAAGTTATTCTGATTCCTCCTAGCTCTAATTTTGGCATACAAGAACCCCAAATCATCTTCACTATGAGACAACCAATTAGCTTTAGCACGTTGAGCCACCCAAGACGCCCAAGAGGCTTGAAGACAAGCCAGGCTAGTATTGATATCTTTCAATTCAGCATTTAAAGAAGGGTCTAGAGGAGAGTAATGAATACTCTCTAAGCAATTCTGCTGCTTACCTTTAAGATCCAAAATAGTGTTTGTGAGGTGATTGGAAGAGGCCCACACTCTTTTCTTCAAGGCACCCTTGAGACTTTGCAAACATTTATGAAGGTAGCAAATGGGATTACTGTGAGGAGGTTGGGAGAAGGAGGAAAGAACATCATCCCAGAAACCAGGCATATAAGACCAATAATTCTTAAATAAAAACCTATTAGGCAACTTGTGTGAGGATGTTATGGAAGTGATGAGAGGGGTATGGTCAGAACAAATAGGAGAAGACACCTTGTAGTGGGCAAGGGGGAAATGGTCAAGAAAAGAAGAGTTAACCAAAACTCTATCTAATTTGATATGT